ATCTGAATTCTAAAGGGAGAGGAGGAGTTAACTGTGAGACGAAGGAGGGAAGGGACTTCAGGCAGAGGGAACAGCCTGTGCGGAGGATAGAGAGCAGGTTACATTTGAGATTGAAAGGAGGAGGTGTGTGGAACAGAGTGGGAGGGAGGGAGATGAGTGAGGCAGGCTGGGGCCAAGCCACAGTGCCTTGGCCCACACAGGAAGAGTTCTGATCTGTTTCCAATGAGCAATAGATTTTAAATAGCTAGTATCGTGATTCAACTTGCATTTCGGAAAGATTTCTCTCTTGCTTTTTGGGAGACAGACCATAGCAGGGGGCTACAGGGCAAGATTGAATGCAGGAGGGGTAAAAAAGATAACACCTGGCCTTTCTGCTTCTGCTGCATGGATGGGTGGTTGCGCCATTCCATAAGATAGCAACACAGGAAAAGAATGGGATTTGTCTGGGAAAGATCACGAATTTGTTCTTTACCATGGTGAGCTTGAAATACCTTTGAGTCATGTAAGTGACTATTGAGAGAGTCTGGGCTGGAGTTAAGGGTCTGAGAATTATCTGCATAGAAGTTTAGGATGAAGCCATGGGCACGGATGGAATGGCCTAGGGAGGCAGGAGGTGGTGGGATGAGAGCCCAGCCTAGGAGTTGAGAAAACAGCAGGAGAGCTTGAAACTGAGGGAGGAGCCGCCAGAGAAGTAGGAGACCCAGGAAGGGTGCGGTGGTATCCCAGAAGGCTACGGGCGCGCATGTTTCCCAGTGAGGATGTGATTGGTCTGTCCATTGTTGAGGAGTGAGCACTGGAAAATATCCTCTGCTTTGACAATCTGGAGGTTGCCACTGGTGTGCTGGGGGCAGAAGCCAAAGTGGAGTGAGTGGAAGTGAGGACATGAAGACTGGAGCAGTGTGGCTGTGTGGGAAGAGAGAAGGTGGCACTGGAGGGGAGAGAAGGGTTGAGGGAAGTTGTTGTTTGAAAGTTTTGCTCTTGTCGCCCAGGCTAGCGTGCAGTGGCTCGATCTCGGTTCACTGTAACCGCTGCCTCCCGGATTCAAGCGATTCTCCTGCCTCAGCCTCCCAACTAGCTGGGACTACAGGCACGCACCCCCACGCCTGGCTAATATTTGTAGTTTTAGTAGAGATGGAGTTTCACTATGTTGGTCAGGCTGGTCTCGAACTCCTGACCTCAGGTGATCCACCCGCCTCAGCCTCCCAAAGTGCTGGGATTATAGCCATCATGCCTGGTCAGGAAGTTGTATTTTAAAATAAGTCTTGAGTTTTGTTAATACGTTATAGGAGAAGTTGAATTGACGAGGTAATGGGCTTCCAGATGGAGAGAACAGGGTGTGCAAAGCCTGGAGGCTTCCAAGTGCTTGTTGTGCTTTGGGGCAGTGAGGTGCTTTTGCAGCTGGAGCAGAGGTGGGTGGGGAAGTGCAGGAAGAAGCACCTGAGGAAAAGTGGGCCCGGTTAGAAAGGGTCTGGTATGGGGCCCCAGCCAGTGTGTGCCTGGGCAGCGCATCACAGTAACAAAGTCTGAAGAGATTACAAAGCACAGTCTGAGAGGCAGCGAGAGTAGCGGGGAGCTGTTTATGGAGGAAATAGGGGAGGGGAGGGCAGATGAGAGAGATTTGCTGTCTTTTCTGTAGGACTCCATGTTTGATTCAGTTCAGAGAGTTGTAGGGGAAAACCTACGATGGAAGAAATCACTGCTGTTCTTTTTTGCTCAAGAGGGTATTTGATTAATTGGAGTATTAGCACAGAAAGTTGGAAGCAAGCAGATTGGGGGTGGACATTTAGGGGGCAGTTTTCAGCCTTCAGTGGGGAAGATGAGTCTAGAACGTTGGAGGGCAGCTGGAGTCAAAGTTTCCAGTCCCCCGAGAGCGGCTGGCTGAAGCCTCAGCACTGGGTGGGCTCGCTGAGCAGGCTGAGCAGTTCTGGGAGGTCTCCCTGCTTCTGCTGCTCTGTGAACTCTGTTGTGAACATCTTGGGCTTTGAAGCCACTGAACACTGGACCGGTTTACCTTGATTTGTCTTTGCAAAGTGTAGGAATGATGCTTGTCTTACTCCAGAATAGATTGCTTTTAGTGGGCTCTTGAGAAGTAGAGGTTTTATAGCTCAGACACCAGAGCCAGGCTATTCTGGAGCCAGGGAATTCTAGTTCCCCTAGTTAAAAGCTGAGTGACTTTGGACAGGTTACTTTGCCTTTCTAATGCCTCAGTTTTCTTATCTGTAAACTTAAGGTAATAAGAATGCCCGATGCATGAGGTAGATTGGGGATTAAATGGGAAATGCACATAAAGCACTTCGAACAGCTTTTGACACATTTTAAGTGCTCAGAAGGAGGTAATGGTAGAGGTAAAAGTAACCGTAGTCATTGTTTTGGGGTCTCCAGTGTTGTTCCATTGTTACAGCACCAGATGGCGACAAAGCACACGTTTTCAGCTTCCTGGCATTCCACTGCTAGGGCTCTTTGAGTAGCTTTACTTGTTCTCTTCAGATCCCTAATTGATGCAAAAAAAAAAAAATTCATTCATAAAATTAAAAAAAAAAAGTTTTGGTTGGAGTAGCATGTACACACAGTAAAACATTGGACAATACAAAATAGCTGTTAGTGAAAGGCAGCGTGCTGCCCCTGCCCTCCACCCTGTCCTACTCTCCAGGAGCACCCCCTACTTTTTTTTTTGGCGGGAGAGAAGGAGTCTCACTGTGTCGTCCAGGCTGGAGTGTGGTGGCACGATCTCAGCTCACTGCAACCTCCGCCTCCCGGGTTCAAGTGACTTTCCTGCCTCAGCCTCCTGAGTAGCTGGAACTACAGGCAAGTGCCACCGCGCCCAGCACCCCTAATTTTTTTTTTTTTTTTGAGACAGAGTCTCACTCTGTCGCCCAGGCTGGAGTGCAGTGGTGTGATCTTGGCTCATTGCAAGCTCCGCCTCCTGGGTTCACGCTTCTGCCTCAGCCTCCCGAGTAATTGGGACTACAGGTGCCCGCCACCACGCCTGGCTAATTTTGTTTTTGTATTTTTAGTAGAGATGGGGTTTCACCGTGTTAGCTAGGATGGTCTTGATCTCCTGACCTTGTGATCCGCCCGCCTTGGCCTCCCAAAGTGCTGAGATTACAGGTGTGCGCCACCATGCCCAGCCTTTTTCTTTTTTTTGAGACAGGTTGTTGCCCTGCCACCCATGCCAGACTGCAGTGGTGCAATCACAGCTCACCACAGCCTCAAACAATTCTTCAGCCTCACCTTCCTAAAGTTTTAGAATTATAGGCGTGAGCCACTGTGCCCAACCAGCACCCACTTTTAACTGTTACTATTACCACATCTTTTTGAATAGCTGAATTTTATATTACTTCAACCAAAATATTGGTAGTCTAATGGTTAGATACTGTTTCTTGGAGTCGAGGAGAGTCGCAGTACCAGGAGTTTGGGGGTTTTGTGATGTGCTTCCTCTGTGCCAGTCACTGTGATGGGCATTCGGCAAAGTCCCTGATCTTGGGCCACTAGTCACTGGGGGAACTAGTAAGTACGGTGTGGTATGTGCTTTGGGGGAGCACTTGAGAGGGTGGATACCTGGCCTCTTCTGGGAGGACTGTCTGGAAGAGGTGAACATCTGAGCAGAGTTGAAGGTAGGGCCTGGTTTGGCTGGCAGGAAGGACAAGGAAAAGGTTCTCCCGGCAGGGTGGGTAGCAGCATCAAATGTGAAATGGCAAGAGCGTGGTATAGCTGCAGGAGGCTGGAGGGTAAGATTTTGGAGTTGGAATTAGGGCTATGGTGATGAAGGCAGCATGGAGAGGGAGGGTCAGTCATGAGGGCCTTTCATGCTGAGTCAGAAGTTGGATCTTGTCTGAGAAAAATAGGGAACCACTGGAGGGTTTTAAAGGTAAAGCAACACAGTTACACTTGTATTTTGTGAAGATCAGTCTTGAAGCAGTGTGCAGAATGGATTGCATGGCATTAGACCACTTAGGAGATTACTGGGACAATCTAGGTGAGAAAGGGCAAGGGCCTGCCCTAAGGCAGTCACAGAAACCAGAGGCGGGACTGGGCCTGAGAAATGAAAAAGAGGTAGACTTGATAGTCTTGGAGGGGTAGGGAAAAGTCAAGGATGGTTCCCAGATTTCTGGTTTGGGTTGCTGGATGCATGGCGTTACCTGTGCATGAGCTGGGAAGTCCTGGTGAAGAAATAGAAAGTTTTAAGCTCATTTTATTTTTTATTTTTGTTTTTGGGGGGACTGAGTCTCGCTTTGTCTCCCAGGCTGGAGTGTAGTGGCATGAACATGACTCACTGCAGCCTCAACTTCAAGCAGTCCTCCTACCTCAGCCTCCCAGGTAGCTGGGACCACAGGTACCCGCCACCTGCTCAGCTAATGTTTGAATTTTTTGTGGAGATGGGATCTTACCATGTTACCCAGGCTGTTCTCGAACTCCTGAGCTCAAGCGGTCCTCCTGCCTCAGCCTCCCAAAGGCCTGGGATTACAGATGTGAGCCATTGCACCCAGCCTTAAGCTCATTTTAGATTTGTTGAGCCTGACTTGGCCTTGGTGACATCTAAGTGGAAATGCCAGTACAGTTGGAATCAGAAGAGACTCTGCCACTTAGTAGCTTTGTCACCTTCATCGGATTACTTACCAATTTCAAGCCCCAGTTTCTTTTTCAGGTAAATGGGGATAGTGATAATCTCTACCAAAGGGTCATTATGTCATTAAAATGAAGAGCTTCATAAATACCCAGCACAGGCCATGGCCAGACAGGTGATTCGGGAAGTGGTTTCCTTCTTTCCTTTCTAAGATTCAGAAGGACTCAAGTGCCTTTAGACTTACTGCTGTTTGTACGAAGTCAGCAATTTTGGGTAAAACCGTGTCCTATGGAAAGTAACTACTTAAAAACTAAATTCATGTAGCTCCTTCTTCAAGCCATCTATAATGACTTCGAATGTTATCTAAAAATGCCTTTGCTTTTCCTGGTTCACTACATGTATCACCACTTAACACTGACTTTTCCCTGCTGTGTAGAAAGCATGTACCTACATCAGATCTAACCTTGATCCCAGCAATGTGGATTCCCTCTTCTACGCCGCCCAGGCCAGCCAGGCCCTCTCAGGATGTGAGGTGAGTCCGGGTTCCTACACTGACAATGACTTTTAACTATTAAAAAAAAAAAAATAGTGCATTTTTAAAGGGGAAGGGTCATGTCAAAAATCCTTTTTTTAACAATGAGAGTCCATTGTTGTGGAGAGTCCGTTGCTTTTCCTTAAGAAAGTGTAGTTTATGTTTCTCCTAAGTTTTTACTTTTCAAGGGTTTTAAATAACCTTTTCATACAGTTTTTGCCTTTCTTCTGGGAGGTCTTGATTTTTTCCTTTCATCTCCCTTTAACATTGAAAACTGTTCAAAGTGTACCCCTACATGAGGTTTCTGAAAAGTCATTTTATTGAACACAGGAGAACCGTATAAGTAGAAAGGTAATTTGTCAGCATCTTTTCAGATGGGGATGTCGTACCGAGGTTTTACAAACATTTCATCCTGGTATCTGGGGATTAGAGGGGAATCAGCATACATGAGGCGGAGGTGACTTTGGCAGCTGCTCTGCATGCTGTCTTTGCCATGCCTGCCACAAATTGCCAAGACCTGTTCTAAAACTCTGTGTCTGCCAATTCTTTCTTAGATCTCTATTTCAAATGAGACCAAAGATCTGCTTCTGGCAGCTGTCAGTGAGGACTCATCTGTTAACCAGATCTACCATGCAGTTGCAGCTCTAAGCGGCTTTGGCCTTCCTTTGGCATCCCAAGAAGCACTCAGTGCCCTTACTGCTCGTCTCAGCAAGGAGGAGACTGTGCTGGCGTGAGTTGTCATCTCGAGCACTTCTCAGGCTTCATTTGTCTCGAGCCCTATCCTAAGAGGGCTCATTCATTGGTTCAGCAAATACTTCCTGGGCAAGTACTTCAGTAAATACTTCTGTGTGCCAGGTGCTGTGCAAGGCACCGCAGGCATGATTGCACGAAGGCAGGTAAGGTCCCTGTTCTCGTGGAGCTCACATGGACGCAGTCTTCTGCACGCCTTGCAAACAGAAGGCAGGTGCTGAGCCAGAGTATGAGCACGCCATCACCTAGAGATCAGCTGCCTTGTGAGGTTGGAGGGCTAGAGCAAGGGCAGATAACTCAGAAGGAGCCACGTGCATGTTTTGTTGAGGCTTGGCCAGGGCAGGATGGCATGTTGGCAGTGGAGGCTCTGCAAAGTGCTGGCTCCAGGATCCCTGGAAGTTGTGAGAGGTAGCATCTGGTGGGAGAGGTGGTTGCTCAGAGGGTGGAGTGTTCTAGGAATCAGACTCTACTACTCTGCAAAAAGCTTAGATGAAGGAGAAGCACCTTACCTGTTTGTTATAAATGGAAATGTTATAACTCCAGGGTGTTTTTTGCTAAGCTCTTAAGTGATAATATATGTAGTTTCAAATTTTTATTTATTTAGAGACAGGATCTCACTCTGTCACCCAGGCTGAAGTGCAATGGTATGATCACAACTCACTGCAGCCTTGAAGTCTGGGCTCAAGTGATCCTTCTGCCTCAGCCTCCCGAGTAGCTGGACTACAGGTGCAAACTACCACGCCTGGGTAATTTTTTTTTTTTTTTTTTTTTTTTTTGAGATGGAGTCTTACCCTGTTACCCAGGCTGGAGTGCAGTGATGTGATCTCAGCTCACTGCAACCTCCGCCTCCCGAGTTCAAGCAGTTCTCCTGCCTCAGCGTCTTCAGTGGCTAGGATTACAGGCACGCCACCACGCCTGGCTAATTTTTGTATTTTTAGTAGAGACGGGGTTTTACTACATTGGCCAGGCTCGTCTTGAACTCCTGACCTCAAGCAATCCACCTGCCTCGGCCTCCCAAATTGCTGGGATTACAGGTGTGAGCCACTGCGCCTGGCTACCCGGCTAATTTTTTGTTTTTAGTGAAGATGGGGCCTCTCTGTGTTGTCCAGGCCGGTTATAGTTTTTTTTTTTTTAAAAAAAAAACTGAAACTCCTCATTTAAAACAATAATTTTGTTGTTATTTTATTTGTGTTCACCATTTAATTGCAACCCTGAAGGAGGGTGTGGAGTACATTTCTGGAATCCTGTTCATTGTTTAGCAAGAGTTTGGTGATATCAATTCCCCCGTTCAAAACAATGAGATTGTTTCTCAGGTTTTTCTGTTTGTTTTTTGTGTTTTTGCTAACAATCAGATTTTTCTGTAAACTTAAAACTTTGTTAAGGACAGGGTTCACAGGCAGTTGACATTTCTCTATGTCATCCTCACACCCTCCTCATATTCACATATTCTAACTTCTCTGAGCCTCGCCTTTAAAATGAAACCCATAATTCTTACATCAGAGCACCTGACAGGATTAAGTGAGATAATAGGTGTGAAGACCCTAGCGCAGTGCCTGGTTCTTGGTGGGCATGTAGGAAATGGAGTTCCTTTTCTGGACCATTTGTTTCTTAGGTTCCTAACAAACAGGTCCCCTTTCTTAGAGAGTTTGTTACTTCCTTCGTTGTTATTTGTATGTTAGATCATAAGCTTTTTTTTTTGAGACAGAGTCTCCCTCTGTCATCTAGGCTGCAGTGCAATGCGATCATACAACCTCAAACTCCTGGGCTTGAGCAATCCTCCCACCTCCACCTTCTGAGTAGCTGGGATTATAATCACGCGCCACCACACCCAGCCATAAGCTTTATTTGCAGTGCTTAGAGAGCCTGGCACATGGTCTGTATCCAAAGGAGTTAATAAAGGATGAAACTATACTTTTGTGTTTCTGCTGTCTTGTAGAAAGCTTATAGGTAGGAAGAACATATGCTTTGGAGTAGAAACAAGTGTGTTCAAATCCACTCTTCTACTCAACCGCTGTAACCATGAGTAGGTTGTTTAGCCCCGCTAAGCCTCAGTGTTTTCATATGCAAACCTGGAGAATGGCTCATAGGATCATTGTGAAATCCAACTGGTCGGATGCCTTATATTACTACTAATTTGCCCTATTAAAGGCAATCTGATATAAATTAGAACTCTTCTAAGTGGGCCTTCTATATTTAAATAGGCTTTTTCTAGGAAGTGAATGTTTGTAAACTTGTCTTGAATAGAAAACAAGAAAATACTTGTAGGTTTGAATGAACCATCTGAGAAGATCTCATTGTTGTCTCATAAATCAATTTCTCTGAATCATCTGCTATATATTAGCAAGATAAGATCTGCTTTCTTAATGTTTGAATACAGTACTATGCTCCAGAGAAAAAGAAATTGCTGGCTGGGGAATAAGTAATTAAAGCCAGTGACAAAACTTTCTAAAACTCAGTGGATTAATTTCGTTCTAAAACTTCTGAGGTTGTTACCATGCGGCACTCGCTCATTCCAAAGAGAAAAAAATGATATCTTAATTGAGAAGTTCTTTCTGGGCTATCTTAACCCCCTTTTCTGAGCACAGCATTTATCACGGGCAGATGTGTGATTTTTATCTCGTTTGGAAATTCAGGTTTCATTTTCTCAAGTGTATTATAACAACAAGCATCCCATAGGTGTCGTTGAGTACTCTAGGGCTTGTCTCTCTGTAAATTGTGACTCTGCTGTTTTCCAACTTGTCATCTTAATGGAATTAGTTTCCCATGGAGAGAATCTAAATTGTTATGATCTTGACATAAGCAGACAGATTCTTGCTCTACATTCCTTGACACATTGACTTGGTAAGTGGAGGTTTTACACAAGGGCCCAGTCATCTCTTAGGAATTAGGAAACCATTGGGGTGGCAGTAGCAGTCGTTTAACCACCAGGGGGCCTCTCCTTTCCCCATTTTATCCAGAAAAGCACCATTTATGTTTTCCAAATTATCTGCTTTAAGAGAACAGAATCTAACAAGTCTTACATGTATACACCTATCATGTTCCATCTTAAAAAGCTTATCTTCCAGAATTATAGATAAAATTGTATGAATAAGCCATAAAAAGGAATGAAGTGCAGATACGTGCTACAACATGGATGAGCCTTGAAAACATTCTGCTGAGCGAAAGAAGCCAGACATAAAAGGATGCAGATTGTATGATTCCATTTCTATGAAATAGCAGAGTAGGCAAATCCGTAGAGCTAGAACATGGATTACTGGTTGCCGGGGGCAAAGGGGAGACACAATGGGGAGAAACTGTTCAGTGGGTTTTGTTTATCTATTTTTTTGGAGACAGGGTCTCACTCTGTCACCTAGACTGAGTGCAGTGGTGCAATCACAGCTCACTGAAGCCTTGACCTCCCTAGCTCAAGTGATCCAGCTAATTTTTTAATTTTTTGTGAAGATGAGGTCTCACTATATTGCCCAGGCTGGTTTTGAACCCCCAGGCTTAAGTGATCCTCCTGCCTCGGCCTCCCAAAGTATTGGGATTACAGGTGTGAGCCACCATGCTCAACCAGTGGGTTTTATTTTAGACTGATGGAAATATTTGGGAACTAGACAGGTGGTGGTTGCACAACATTGTGAATATAGTAAGCATCCCTGCATTGTTCACTTTAAAATCGTTAATTTTATATGAATTTTGCTTCAATCTTTTTTTTTTCTTCTGAGACAGGGTCTCACTCTGTTGCTCAGGCTGGAGTGCAGTGGCTCACTGCAACCTCTGCATCTTGGGCTCAAGCGATTCTCCCACCTCAGCCTCCCAAGTAGTTGGGACTACAAGCACACGCCACCACACCTGGCTCATTTTCAGTATTTTTAGTAGAGATGGGGTTTCACCATGTTGCCCAAGCTGGTCTTGAACTCCTGGGCTCAAGGAATTTGCCTGCTTCAGACTCCCAAAGTGCTGGGATTACAGGCGTGAGCCACTGCGCCCGGCCCAAGGCCCACGCTTCTTCTTGCCAGTTCTGTTGCCTGCGTTGTCTTCTCAGCTGTGATGATCTTTTCCGGGTTTTGTCATACTTATCCTAACTGGATTATAAGTAAACTCCTTAAAGGCTGAGACCAACTTGTACTTCTAAAGAACAAGAGTGGGATATTTGTGAAAGTGTCCCAAGTACGGGAAGGGGTGAGTAGATGAAAGAAGACTTGCCATTCATTGGGGTTCTACTCTTTACCTTCCAGAACGGTCCAGGCTCTGCAGACAGCATCCCACCTGTCCCAGCAGGCTGACCTGAGGAGCATCGTGGAGGAGATTGAGGTGTGAATCTTTTGCCAAATACATTTCCCAGCTCCTATCTTTGATACGCTGTAGAAGAGTCTTGCAGAGAGCCATGCATGATCTGTTAGGATCAGTTACATTGCTTCTTATATCCATGGCACACTTGTGTTCTTTGTATTAGGGTACTGTGTCCTGAGCAATATTTGTACCTATTACATAATAGGTGCTCAGGACGTGGTGATGGTGGTTTTTATTATTGCTCTATCCTTGCCTTTGTCCAAAATATCATGCTTCTCTGGGGCCTCTTTCATGGACTGCCTGGCAGGGCTGACAAGCAGTCCTGATGGTGTTTTCACTGGATGCTTCACAGACACGTTGGTTGCCTAGTCATGTTGCCTAGGAGAGCAGTGTGTCTCTCTTTGTCTTTTGGAGCATTAAGAAATTCTGGGAAACGCCGTGCTTTGTAGGTTGTATTCAGATGGATGGCCACGGACTCCATCTGTGTCACGATGCTTCCTGGGTGCACGGCAGCCTGGCCCACTGGCCTTCCACCCAAAGTAGCTGGAGCCTTCCCTGCCATGACTCCTGGGCTTGGGCCTGCATACATGGGGCCAAGGAAGGAACCCTCCCAGAAGTGCAGAAGACACTGCTCTCCTCAAATGTCTGTTTGATATACTTTACTCTGCCTAAGGACTATTTTTGAGAAAGTATTAAGTGACTGAGGTGGTCTTCAGATTTAGAGTGAGAGATGTCACGAAGCTGTCTGCGGTGGGGTTGACAGTGGTTCGTGCATCTCATTTCTGCTGTTACTTGACATCCAGCTTGTTTCTGTTTTGTTATGGCAGGACCTTGTTGCTCGCCTAGATGAACTGGGGGGCGTGTATCTCCAGTTTGAAGAAGGACTGGAAACAACAGCGTTATTTGTGGCTGCCACCTACAAGCTCATGGATCATGTGGGGACTGAGCCATCCATTAAGGAGGTACCCATCTAACAGTTTTCAGGCATGAAACCCAAAGGGGTCATCAGCTTTATCTGCTAAGGATAGCTTTTATTAGAGATAAATGTTCAGACATACCTTGGGATGTTGTCACTCAGTGTCCTGGGTTAGGGATTAAGAATGAGAAATAGAAAGATGTAATGCCTGTCTTCAAGAAATGGGTTGCTAGTGAGACAGATGTGTAAACAAACCACACTTGCTTTAAATGGGGTATGTACATGTCACGAGGTAATATCAAGGAAGCCACGTGTATTACTCCTGTTTCATCTCCCTTTCTTCCCAATACCCCTTTCTGCTTGTCTCCTGAATGCTTTCCACTCTGGTGGCCCATTCACATCCTTCCCTGGGCTCATAATTGCTTCTCCTCCCTTCCCCCTTATCCTCAGCAACGGCTAAATCTTAGCTAATCTTTGCTGATGGACATAGTTCACTGAGAGGCATGTGTGTCTATCACACATCCGCCAAGAGTTCATTCTTTTTCTCAAGAGGAGGTTGTTAACCTGAAAGAACCTTTAGTTGGAATGCATGTGGGAAGTCTTTTTGAGTGGGACCGTCTTTGTACCCCTTGTCTGTGAGAAGTTACCAGCCCTTAATCTAAAGTACTTAAAATACAAGCTGCTTTTATTTAAATTTTAGGAGGAGAGATTTGGGTTTTAAGTGAGAACTTTTCATTTCTTTATGCATTACGAGTTTTGTGCCAAGTTTCTTTAAGTAAATAATTATCTGTCTTGGATAATTGGAATTAATTTCATATTTTCTCCAGAGGATATGGTCAAATAAGTTATTCAAGTGTTTGCATTCTTTGTGTCTCTTCCTTTGTCCTAAGTGTAGCAGGTCTAGAAATATACTCCCTTTTAATTTCTGTTATGGGTGAAAGTGCAAGAGTGTGGGGTCTTGGGGTACAGATTGTTTGCTGATTGTCCTATACACAGTAAATGAATTAATGGTATTGTACATATACAACTTAAACATTTTCTTCCTTTATTTCCAAGCTGCTGCTAACCAGGTACTTGGCTGGAGTAATTTCGCTGTCACTGCTTTTGACACAACAGTTCTGGTGAACAGTCACCCATTTTAACATGTCAGCAGCCTAGTAATGGAAAATTGTAATTGGTCCAATTAAAGAAAATTCTTTCATGTTGACTGTGAATAACACTGTCAGGAATAAGAGAGCTCTTTGGTTGGATGGTAGATTTTAAAAAACAAAACTGATTGAAGGGGAAAATGTTTCCTCCTAAGCAAACAACCTCCAGAATTTTAGTAATGCCTTTTAGGTTCCACTTTTTAAAAAAAAAACTGCTTTTAGTTTTCTCCTCTAAGCAGCCCATTAGTTCTTAATGGAGAGTTATTTTAGTTTCTTTTTAATGTACATTTTAGCTATAACGTTTGGTGTTATAAATAAAAACTTTGCCTCAATGTACTACTTACAGGTAGGTTGGGAGGAAAGGTAGCTTAGCTGGGAGGATAATGGGAACCAGGAAAGAACAGATGTTCTTGTAGAAGGACTTCGGAGATAAACAATCCTACAATTGAATGTTGGTCTTGCTAATGTTGTTGTAACTTGCAGAGGTTACTTAGCCTCCTTTAGCCTCAGTTTCGTTTTTTGGGAAACATTGATAATAGCAGTCTTTTATAGTTTTTGTCAAAATTTGAGTTAATGCATGTAAGCACCTATCATGATGCCTGGCGTATATAGACATTTAACAAATAATTACTATTAGGTGTATTTCATAATATAGTTTCATATCTCAGTAGTTATCTGGAATTACCCTGCATTTGTGTAGTAAGCATTATTATGATTTTTTTTTCAAACAGTCTTTCTCTGTCGTCCAGGTTGGAGTGCAGTGGTGCGATCTTGGCTCACTGCAACCTCCGCCTCCCGGATTCAAGCAGTTCTCGTGCCTCAGCCTCCTGAGTAGATGGGATTATAGGCGCATGCCACCATGCCTGGCTAATTTTGGTATTTTTAGTAGAGATGGGGTTTTTCACTATGTTGGCCAGACTGGTCTCGAACTCCTGACCTCAAGTGATCCACCCGCCTTGGCCTCCCAAAGTGCTGGGATTATAGGCATGAGTCTCCGCGCCTGGCCTGTATAGTAAGCACTTATTAAATAACTGACAAATCATGAATTTCAGTTTATAACGGAAGATGGGAAAAAAACAACCACATCCAAGTTCTAAGTTTAAATGCAGAATATTTGTGTTTTCTCCATCTACGAATTTGGATCATTGACCAAAAGACCTCCCATGTGAACACCTGAAACAGATAAGGAGTGACTTTCCTCTACAGCAGTGGCCCTCCCACCTTCCCAGCAGAGGAAGAAAAACGGCTGCATTTCACGTTTCTTTCAGGATCAGGTCATCCAGCTGATGAACGCAATCTTCAGCAAGAAGAACTTTGAGTCCCTCTCCGAAGCCTTCAGCGTGGCCTCTGCGGCTGCTGTACTTTCCCATAATCGCTACCACGTGCCGGTTGTGGTTGTGCCCGAGGGCTCTGCTTCCGACACTCACGAACAGGCTATCCTGAGGGTAAGACATTCATCCCCAAAGTGTGCCCCTCTGATTGTCATTCCTAGTGGAAGGCTTTCAGAAATCGGGACTATGGTCATAGCCAATTGTAGCCCTTACAAGGACATACCCATTAAATGGAGGGCAAGGCTCATTTCCCTGAGCCTTGAAATGGAGACATGACCACTGGGTGAACTAGCCACAGAACCCTTCAACTCTATTTTAAAAAATTTTTTTTCGTAGAGGATTTTTAATTTTTATTTTTATTGCTTTTTTTGAGACAGAGTCTTGCTCTGTCACCCAGGCTGAAGAGTAGTGGCATGACTTTGGTTCACTGCTGCCTCCACCTCCTGGTTTCAAGTGATTCTTGTGCCTCAGTCTCCCAAGTAGCTGGGATCACAGGCACACACCACCATGCCTGGCTAATTTTTGTATTTTTAGTAGAGATGGGGTTTTGCCATGATGGCCAGGCTGGCCTTGAACTAGCAAAGTGCTGAGACTACAGGTATGAGCCACCGTGCCTGGGCTCTCCCTAGAGGATTTTAAATAGTACAGGCTTGGCTGGGTGTAGTGGCTCACGCCTGTAATCCCAGCACTTTGAGAGGCCGAGGCGGGCAGATCACGAGGTCAAGAGATTGAGACCATCTTGGCCAATATGGTGAAACCCCGTCTCTACTAAGAATACAAAAATTAGCAGGGCATGGTGGCGGGCACCTGTAGTCCCAGCTACTCAGGAGGCTGAGGCAGGAGAATCGCTTGAACCCGGGAGGCGGAGGTTGCAGTGAGCCGAGATTGCGGCACTGCACTCTAGCCTGGTGACAGAGCGAGACCCTGTCTCAAAAAAAAAAAAAAAAGTACAGGCTTTCAATAAGTGCAGGAATATTGCATTTCTAGGCCTGTAACTCCAGATGTATAGAGAAGTCTTGCTTCTAAAATGCATTTCCCAATACCAAACTTTCTTTGTCATATTTTTTTGTTTTGTTTTGTTTTTTTGGACAGCGTCTCGCTGTATCATGCAGGCTGGGGTGCTGTGGCACGATCATGGCCCACTGCAGCATAGACTTCCTCCAGTACCCAAATTTTCTAACTATATTATTTTACAACAGCTGTTTTAATTCTCAAGTAATTCTGGTGTTTATGGTTGATCAGTTCTCTTCTTCCTTGGTCCTGATGGGATATCTTTTTGCCTCTCTATAGCACAGTCCTCCCTTTCACTCAGCAGTAAGCATAGACTTCTCCTTTGTGTTAACTCTTTGAACAGAGCAAATGCACAGATACTGAATATGCTTAGAACTTTCATCTCAAATGAGGCATTTTGTTGCTGTTGTTTGGGAACCAGTGATAAGCTAAGATCTTCATGAGAAAGTGTTGGGTTTCCACCTGGGATAGTCCTGTCTGTCCCATTAGATCTACTTTGGTGGCCCCTGCAGATATCCTCCTGAGCAAGTACCCTGTTCTTCAAAATTGCCCATTTTCTCTCTACATACAACTTGTATACCCTCAACAAAGACTTGGGTAGAAAGTAACCCGATGAACATAGTTTGCTGTGAGTCAAGAGGGGCTAAGAGGACAAAGTGGAAAAATAATTGACTCGGAAACTAAATAGATGGTTTGAGTCCTGGCTCAACTACTTAACCGGCCATGTGACTTTTGGCAGTCCCTTAACCTCTTACGGCTTGTTTCTTCACCTGTGCAATAAGGATTATTCTGTCTGTGTCATACAATTGATAGGAGAATATATGTAAAGGGCCTAGCCTGGTATATGCATGTAGTTGACTTTCAACAAATGATAGTTATTAATGTTATCCATATTTCTTTAATTTTCCCATTGCTGGTACCATCCTAAAGTATTTTTCTGGCTGATTGATTTATTTATTTTTTTGGTAGAGACAAGGTCTCACTGTGTTGCCCAGGCTGGTCCCAAACTCCTGGCCTTAAATGATAATCACTCCCATCTCGGCCTCCCAAAGTACTGCAGTTACAGGCATGAGCCACTGCACCCAGCCTGGCTGAGACATTTATTTTTTTCTTTTTCAGAGACAGGGTTTCCCTCTGTTTCCCAGGCTGGAGTATAGTGGCACAGTCATAGCTCATGCTAACTCTTGGGCTCAAGCAATCCTCCTGCCTCAACCTCTTGAGTATCTGGGACTATAAGCACCTGACACCATGCCCAGCTAATTTTTTAATTTAAAAAACCTTTTTTTTTTTTTTTTTTTTAAGTAGAAACGGCGTCTTGCCATGTTGCCCACGTTGGTCTTGAACTCCTGGCATCAAGTGATCCTCCTGACTCAGCCTCCCAAAGCACTGCAATTACAGGCATGAGCCACCATGCCCAGTCTGATAAATTCTTTTAAAGATTCTGTAGCAGAGTGGATAGAATAGGGAATCAGAAAGAAGGAAATATATTGACCAGGTGTGGTGACTCACACCTGTAATAATCCATTTTAGGATTAGGCAGCAGACCCAAGGTCTGTGAAGATTTCCCAAAGCAGGGGGTTTGCTCTCCTGCAGAGCTTACAACCTATAGGTAAAGCACCCCAGTAACAAAATTCTCTGCTCCTGTAGCCTTTGTTGTAACAAATAATTTTTTATTTATTTCCAGTTGCAAGTCACCAATGTTTTGTCTCAGCCTCTGACTCAGGCCACTGTTAAACTAGAACATGCTAAATCCGTTGCTTCCAGAGCCACTGTCCTCCAGAAGACATCCTTCACCCCTGTAGGGTAAGTCTTGACCATGTTTTGGCAGGGCGCTGACCTCTTTGTTTTGGAAAGTTAGCCTGCAGCCAGTGTAACAGATTAATATAGATGTCACCATGATCATAAAACCAAATTTACCGAAGTTTCAGTTAGGTAAATTTGATCTACTAGTATCAAAAGCCTACAATTAAATATAAGAAAATGATTTTTAAAATGAAGATCATTTGGTTTTACTGTTTCATTCTCTATTTCTAGTTGGCTCTGTCTTGTTGTGATATAAGTAGCTATTTTAAAATTTAATATTTATCGATTTTTTTCTGTTAAATGTTTATTATAGGAAAAATACAGAAAAACACAAAAAAGAAAATGTAACTCACCCATAATTCTACCATTCAGAGATAACTTTTGCTAACTTTTTTTTTTTTTTTTTGAGGCGGAGTTTTGCTCTTGTTGCCCAGACTGGAGTGCAGTGGTGCAATCTCAGCTCACCACAAACTCTGCCTCCTGGATTCAAGCAATTCTCCTGCCTCAGCCTCCCGACTAGCTGGGATTACAGGTGCCCGCCACCATGCCTGGCTAATTTTTTGTATTTTTAGTAGAGACAGGGTTTCACCATGTTGGCCAGGATGGTTTCGAACTCCTGACCTCAAGTGATCCACCCACCTCGGCCTTCCAAAGTGCTGGGATTACAGGTGTGAGCCATTGCACCTGGCCTTTTTAAAAAATTTTTTTAAAAATTAGAGATGGGGGCCGGCTGTAGTGGCTCACGCCTGCAATCCCAGCACTTCGGGAGGCCGAGGTGGGTGGATCACTTAAGGTCAGGAGTTCAAAAACAGCCTGGTCAACATGGCAAAAACCCATCTCTACTAAAAATACAAAAAATTAGACGTCGTGGCACACGCCTATAGTCCCAGCTACTTCGGAGGCTGAGGCAAGAGAATCGCTTCAACCTGGGCGGCAGAGATTGGCAGTGAGCTGAGATGGCGCCATTGCTCTCCAGCCTGTGTGACAGAGTGAGGCTCCATCTCTATTTAAAAAAAAAAAAAAAAAAAAAATATCAGGATATGCTTTATATGTAACAATGTGCCACAAACTTCTTTTTTTTTTTTTGAGGCAGAGTCTCGCTCTGTCCCCCAGGCTGGAGTGCAGTGGCACGATCTTGGCTCACTGCAAGCTCCGCCTCCTGGGTTCACACCATTCTCCTGCCTCAGCCTCCCGAGTAGCTGGGACTACAGGCGCCTGCCACCATGCCTGGCTAATTTTTTGTATTTTTAGTAGAGATGGGGTTTCACCGTTTTAGCCAGGATGGTCTCAATCTCCTGACCTCGTGATCCACCCACCTCGGCCTCCCAAACACAAACTTCTTTTTATAGGATTAAATATTCTTTTACAATTTTTTTTTTTTTTTTTTTGAGATGGAGTTTTCTTCTTGTTGCCCAGGCTGGAGTGCAATGGCGTGTTCTCGGCTCATTGCAATCTCCACCTCCCAGGTTCAAATGATTCTCCTACCTCAGCCTCCCGAGTAGCTGGGATTACAGGCACCTGCCACCACACCTGGCTAATTTTTGTATTTTCGGTAGAGATGGGGTTTTATCATGTTGGCCAGGCTGGTCTCTAACTGCCTCAGCGTCCCGAGTGGCTGGGATTACAGGCATGTGACCTCAGGTGCTCCTCCCACCTCAGCCTCCAAAGTGCTGAGATTACATGTGTGAGCCACCATGTCCGGCCTTTACAATGATTTTCAATGACTGCATATTATTGCTATGTAATTTTTTAAAAACTAAGGCCCAATTTACTGGGTATGGTGGCTCGCCTATAGTTCTGGCTACTTGGGAGGCTGAGGTGGGAGGATCTCTTGAGGCTGGGAGGTCTAGGCTGTAGTGAGCCATGATCATACCTTATCATTCTAGCCTGGGTGACTGAGAGAGACTCTGTCTCAAAAACAAAAACAAAAAATTAAAGGTAAAGCTGAGCACAGTAGCAGGTACTTGTAGTCCCAGCTACTTGGAGGTTGAGGCAGGAAGATCATTTGAACTGAGGAGCTTAAGATCAGTCTGGGCAGCATAGTAAGACCTGTCTCTAAAAGAAAAAAATTAAGGGTCAATTTTTATATGAATTAGTGTTTTTCCCAGCTAACTGCTTTTTTTTTTTTTTTTTTTGAGACAGTCTCACTCTGTTGCCCAGGCTGGAGTGCAGTGGCGTGATCTCAGTTCACCTGCAACTTCTGCCTCCCAGGTACAAAGAATTCTCCTGCCTCAGTCTCCCAATTAGCTGGAATTACAGGCACCCGCCACCACACCCGGCTAATTTTTTTTTATTTGTAGTAGGGGTGGGGTTTCACCATGTTGCCCAGGCTGGTTTTGAACCCCTGACCAAAAGTGACCCACCTGCCTCGGCCTCCCAAAGTGCTGGGATTACAGGCGTGAGCCACTGGCCCTATATGGAACTTTTTGAAGTGTTAAATTAGTTTGTAAGTTATTGAGATCAGGAGTTTTCAATTTTAGAAAATGCATTTCTTAATCATAAGCATGGAAAGGTCGAAATTATACCAAAAAATTAGCCACAATTATACTATTGTACACCAACCTCTTTGTACATTTTGGAGTATTTTCTTCTACATTTTTGTTGTTGTCATTGTGAAACATAATTGGGATCATACTGTAAAAAAAACTTCCCAATTTTACATTACACTGTGGAAAGCTACCAGAAGGAGTTTGAATTTTAGGAGTGGTGGGAGTAACAAAGGAAAAGAAAATGTAGGAAACCTAGAGGTGTTCATTTTAGATACTTTTCTCCACATTCCAATCTGTGATTAAACATGAGGATTGGGCACGGTGGCTCACGCCCCAGCCTGCACTTAGGGAGGCTGAGGCGTGTGGATCACTTGATCTCAGGACCCTGTCTCTACAAGAAAACCCTAAAATTATCTGGTCGTGATGGGGTGTGCCTGCCGTCCCAACTTTTGGGGAGGCTGAGGTGGGAGGATCAATTGAGCCTAGGAGTTTGAGGCTGTGGTGAGCTGTGATCGCGCCACTGTACTCCAGCCTGGATGACAGAGTGAGAACCTGTCTCAAAATAAAATAAAAGTGACAACCTGTCTCAAAATAAATAAAATAAAATAAAATAAGCATGAGATTGCCCAAATGGGGTGGGAAGTCAAAAAGGTAGGGAGTGGGCTAGCCGTGAACAGTCTTCAGGAGACATTTTGTAGCTCCTGTTTGTTATATCCATGACCTTCCTACCTGAGTTCTTGCTAAGCCCATTGTCATTCTTAACAGGGATGTTTTTGAACTAAACTTCATGAACGTCAAATTTTCCAGTGGTTATTATGACTTCCTTGTCAAAGTTGAAGGTGACAACCGTTACATTGCAAATACCGTAGAGGTAGGTGTTTTTCTTTCCTTCCCATTGCCATGTTAGTATATCCAAGGAAATGGCCACACTGACACTGTATTAATCGTCTGGTCCATTGACTTTTATCTACAACCAAGCTAATGCGTTTATGTGGAGCGAGGGCTGCGTTCAATCTTTGCTGTTTGACAGGCTTAGCCAAGGCAGTAACTCAAGAACTTGGTCATAGTGAATTTTATTTTATTTGTAAGTTTTTCATTTTCCATTATAATTTAGCATTACTATCTTACATGAAATTTAGTTAGTGGAAAAAATAAAAATCACCCATAATTCCACCGAGGCTTAAACTCTTAAAGTGTTTTGTGTGATAGGCTTTGGTGGGTTTAGAAAAGTGCTTGATGCCGGCCGGGCGCGGTGGCTCAAGCCTGTAATCCCAGCACTTTGGGAGGCCGAGACGGGCGGATCACAAGGTCAGGAGATCGAGATCATCCTGGCTAACCCGGTGAAACCCTTTCTCTACTAAAAAAATACAAAAAAAAAAACTAGCCGGGTGAGGTGGCGGGCGCCTGTAGTCCCAGCTACTCGGGAGGCTGAGGCAGGAGAATGGCGTGAACCCGGGAGGCGGAGCTTGCAGTGAGCTGAGATCCGGCCACTGCACTCCAGCCTGGGCGGCAGAGCTAGACTCTGTCTCAAAAAAAAAAAAAAGAAAAGTGCTTGATGCCAAGTAGATGACAAAAAGCATCAAATGACACATATATAACACTATAATGAAGCTATTTGGGTAAAGGATAAAAGAAAATCGGTAATCTTTTATAATGAACTGTGTTTCAGATGTTTAGCTAACTCTAGCTGGGTTAAAGGTCAAAGTAGCTTTAAGGATAGAAAGCCTTAAATACCTGATGCTTTGTGGGAATGAGGTAGTTCACATGAGTATTTTTCCCAGCTAATTGAAATTTACCCCGTCTGGCACCGTGGCTTTCATTGTAATCTTTTTAGATAGAAGTTTATTTAAGATGAGTTACACATTTTCCTACTTTCTTACTTCCAATTTAAGATGGTTTCTTTGTCTTTCATGACCTTGATGCTTGAAGAGAACTGGCTCTCAATTTGTAGAATATCTCTCAGTTTGTGTTTGTCTGATGTTTCTTCATGATCGGATTCGGGTCATGCATTTTCCTCAGTTCTATCCCAAAAGTAATGCTCTGCCCTACTCAGAGCATGAAGTATATGATGTTGATATGTCTCATTACAGGTAATGTTAACCTTGATCACTTGAGTAAGGTGATTGTGTACTAGGTTTCTCTGCTGTAAAGTTGCTGTTTTTCTGCTTGTATTTAAGTGTCTTGTGGGGTGATACTTTGAGACTCTGTAAGTATCTTCATGATCTTGTCTGTAATAGTCATTACTGTGGTGTTTGCCAAAGGGTGATTTTCTCTTTCATTGGTTCTACATTTTTAAAATTGGAATACTGTAAGAAAATAACTGTTTTTTATCCTGTTTATTTATTTATTTATAACTATAATAATTCTTTATCGTAACATGTTTATAATGTAATATATTATCTATAATTCATATGTTTACAATAATTGCATCATGGATATTTATTTTACTATATACATTGTGATCCATGACTGTCATTTATCTTGTTGCTCATTTTATCCTAGGTTTGGCCTTTGGAGAGCTCCTCAAATTGGCTCCTGTGACACTTGCTTTCTTTTAATGACAGAATTAACAGCTAGAAAGTTTGACCTTTTCAAAAATGGGGCATTACTTCCCATAGATAGATTCAACACTTGCATTTAAAGTTTGGCAGAAAGGAAGATGTTTTCTGGAACTCGAATCTGTCCACCTCATGTGTTGACCTTTTAAGCATGAGACATCTGATCTTAGTCCGTTCACTATGGATAGAAACTATTATAGAGTGTGCCTTGATCCTTTCAAATCCACATTCTTTTAATGTTAGTTTCCTACGTTAAGAGGACTATTTGCAACTGAACATATTAAAAGGAAAGTTCTTTTTTTTTTTTTGAAACCTCTTCTTCCCTCTACTGCCAGTCCATCTTAAATGCCAGGCTTATACCTCACAGTTCTAAACCCCTTCCTTTCTTGTGACTTCTACCTTCTAGTCAGTTACCAGGTCCTATTGATCCCACCTCTGATTGTCTTTTCCATGAGTCTTTTGTTGTTACAGTCACCAAATTACTCTTTTCTCCATATTCGCACCAATATTTGATATTTTTAGGTTTTGGTAATCTGATGCATATGAAAAGGTATCTTGTTTTAATGTCTTTCCTTGGTTACTGGTAAAGTTAAACATCTTTTTTTGTATTTATTAGCCAATTAGGTTTCCTTTCTAGTGAATTGTTTCATATCTTTGCCTGGTTTTCTTTTGGTTTGTTAGTCTTATTACTGATTTTTAGGAGTGATATATTTTAGTTGTGAGCATAGGATATCTTCCCCTAGAATTGCTTTATGGCATCTCTTGATGCACAAAATTTAATTTTAATGAAGCTTAATTTAAGCATCTTCCTGGGGCCAGGTGAGGTGGCTCATGCCTGTAATCCCAGCAGTTTGGGAGGCTGAGGTGGGTGGATCACTTGAGGCCAGGAGTTCAAGAGCAGCCTGGCCAATATAGCAAAATCCTGGCTCTACTGAAAATACAAAAATTAGCCAGGCGTGGTGGCACGCACCTGTAATCCCAGCTACTTGGGAGGCTGAAGCAGGAGAATCACTTGAACCTGGGAGGTGGAGGTGGCAGTGAGCCAAAATCACACCACCGCACTCCAGCCTGGGCAACAGAGCGAGACTCTGTCTCAAAAAAATAAGTAAATAAATAAAATATAAGTTTTTTTGCTAGTCTGTGTTTTTTGTGTCTTCTTTAAGATGATCCTGTGCTACCCCAAAGTCAAAAAGATATTCTCCAGTTTTTTCTTTTTTTCTTTTTATTTATTTTTGAGACAGAGTCTCGCTCTGTCACTCAGGCTAGAGTATAGTGGCGCGATCTTGGCTCACTGCAACCTCTGCCTCCCGGGTTCAAGCAGTTCTCCTGCCTCAGCCTCCCAAGTAGCTGGGACTACAGGTATGTGCCACCACACCCGGCTAATTTTTGCATTTTTAGTAGATACAGGGTTTTGCCGTATTGGCCAGGCTGGTCTCCAACTCTTGGCCTCCCAAAGTGTTGGGATTACAGGCGTGAGCCACTGCACCTGGCCCTCCAGTGTCTTCTGAACAGTTTTTAAGTTGTTTTCCCCTTATATTTGAGGCTTCGGTCTATCCGAAGTTCATTTTTGTTGCTGTAGTATTTTACACCCTGTCTATAGTTGTACTTATTGCGTTATATTACCATTGTTTATATGCATTGCTTTTTCTTTTTCTTTTTTCTTTTTTTTTTTTTTTTGAGACAAGGTCTCATTTTACCATCCAGGCTGGAGTGCACTGGTGTGATCATGTCTCACTGCAGCCTTGACCTACTGGGCTCAGGTGATCCTCCCACCTCAACCTGCCAGGTAGCTGGGACTACAGGCATGTACCACCATGCCAGCTAATTTTTGTATTTTTTTCTAGAGACTGGATTTTGCCATGTTGCCCAGCCTGCTCTTGAACTCCTGGGCTCAAGTGATCTGCCCACCTTTGCCTCCCAAAGTACTGGGATTATAGGCGTGAACCACCACCTGCATTGCTTTTTCACTGGGCTGAGAACTCCTATGGATGGAAACTAAATCTTCTTCTTCTTTTTCTTCTTCTTATTTTATTTATTTATTTATTTATTTATTTTGAGACAGTCTCGCTCTGTTGCCAGGCTGGAATGCAGTGGTGCAATCCTGGGTCACTGGAACCTCTGCCTCCCAGGTTCAAGCAATTCTTCTGCCTCAGCCTCCTGAGTAGCTGGGACTACAGGCATGCGCCACCACACCCAGCTAATTTTTGTATTTTTAGTAGAGACGGGGTCTCACCGTGTTGGCCAGGATGGTCTTGATCTCTTGACCTTGTGATCCGCCCAGAAGTGCTGGGATTACAGGCGTGAGCCACCATGCCCGGCCTAAATCTTATTTTTTCAGTGCTTGGTTCCCATCTAGCATCACTTAGAGGAAGAACAGGATGGAGTGGTGTAAAGACGTTTTCCCACATTGCGGGCCCTTCAGAACTTTGGCAATCTTCCAGACTTAGCTTTTTTTTTTTTTTTTTTTTTTTTTGAGACGGAATCGCACTTTGTCATCCAGGCTGGAGTGCAGTGGCACGATCTTGGCTCACTGCAACCTTCGTCTCCGCCTCCTGGGTTCAACTGATTCTCCTGCCTCAGCCTCCTGAGTAGCTGGGATTACAGGTGCACACCACCTTGCCAGGCTAATTTTTTTGTAGTTTTAGTAGAGACGGGGTTTTGCCATGTTGGCCAGGCTGGTCTCAAACTCCTGACCTCAGGTGATCCGCTCCCCCACTCGGCCTCCGAAAGTGCTGGGATTACAGATGTGAGCCACTAGGCCTGGCCGAGACTTAGCTTTTATTTATTGATTTAATAACAGCTTTATTGAGGTATAATTCTCATACCATAAAATTTATCAATTTAAAGTATGTAATTCAGACTGGGCATGAGCCACCATGCTTGTAATCGCAGCCCTTTGGGAGACTGAGGTGGGATGATCACTTGAGCCCAGGAGTTAGAGACAAGCATCCCAGCACTTTAGGAGGCTGAGGAGGGAGGATCGCTTGAGTCCAGGAGTTACAGACAAGCGTCCCAGCACTTTGGAAGGCTGAGGCGGGAGGATCACTTGAGCCCAGGAGTTAGAGACAACTTGGGCAACACAGGGAGATCCCATCTCTACCAAAAATTTAAAAATAAATTAGCCGGGTATGGTAGCATGTACCTGTAGTCCCAGCTACTTGAGAGGCTGAGGCAAGAGGATCCCTTGAGCCTAGGAGTTTGAGGCTGCAGTGAACTGTGATCACACTACTGCACTCCAGCCTGGGCAACAGAGTGAGACCTTGTCTCAAAAAAACAAAAAGACTGAGTGCGTGGCTTACACCTATAATCCCAG